CACAAGAACATTATGTTTTACATATCAAAGCACAAACTGTCCCTTACCACATCTGCAAACACCACTAAATATGCACAGTGACATACTGCAAACAGCCATTAACGAGGGACATGTGCATTCTTATCTGTTAAGTGCTGCCATCCCTCGACTTCCCCACAGTCGGACTGTACCTTTATGGTATCCATCTTGTCTTTGTCTCTGCGAATGCTGTTGATGAAGGCCTCCTTCTTCAAGCGATGGCGCTCCAAAGTCTCTTTCAGTTGCTTCTGTACAGCAATATGCAAATTAAATCAGTGCAAGGACAGAAACAGTGACACATACAGAGACTGTGCAGAGAATCAAGGAACTCGTAAACGCGCCTAATGCTGAATGAACAAAAAATGTGCTATGCAATGAATATCACTACCTCAAAATGTTCTGTTTTAGTTGAGGTGCTTTTTGAGTGTTGAATCAACTGTTCTAAGGAAGTAATTTGTTTTATTGTTTAATTTAACAGCCCTTTTATGCAAAGATGTTTCGAATATTTTGTCCACCTGTTTTAGATACTTTATAAAGGAGGTGGATAAATATCATAAACACTTCCTGAAGTCTTGTCGTCTCCTTGAGGTTGGCAGGCATCCAACAGAGATGACAGGAAGTGACTGCACCCAGTCAAGAAATAGTCATACACATAACAGGTTCTTAAAACTGCCACAACAAGAAAACACAATGTGTTTGTCAGTGCGCTTTAGAGGTGGATTTTATTACTTTTGTAATAAATAAAAGAGGCTAGCTGGCCTTAGCCTTGAGAGAGTGGTATCAAATGTTCTCATCTACCTCTCTGCAAGATAGTGAATAAACCAGAATTTTCCAGAACATGAAACTATTCTTTCAGAAACAATAACTAAGTTATAACAGTTGTCAACAGAAAATAATCTGACATAATATGAGAAACAATTAAATTTAACAAGAGTGACAAAGGTAAGATTTATTCCAGATTAGATTATGTACAGGTGGTTTTATTATTCTGGCAGGGTTTATTGGTTCCCCTGCTGTGGTTAAGTCATATATCCTGTCATACAAAGTAATATAAAAGGGAGCGGAGAGCGAACTTTGCCCTGAGCCATTCAAAAGAGATATATTCAGGGTGGAGCTATGGTGAAATAAACACAGATGTGGAACGAAACATTGAATACAATTGTATTCAACTTATATAACTCAAAGGTTACAGAACATTCATTTTTAATCAATCGGTTTACTTTAGAGCATACGGTTATTTGTATAAGATTGCCAAACGCCAGCTGACCAAGAGTAAAGGCATGGAAGACAGCCAGCAGGATCGTGGTTAAACATGCAGCGGAGGCGTGAACTCACCTCTAGGTTCTTGATGTAAGAGTCCGAGGTGGTGGCACGGACCTTCTCCACCATGGCTGTCACAAGGTAGTTAGTATGAAACTGCTTGGTGCTGAACTCCTTGCGGCATTGTGGGCAGCTTACGGGGCCCTGAGTGCCCCTCCAGTACCTGGAGATGCAGGGTTTGCAGAAGTGGTGCATGCAGGCCAACATGACAGGTTCCCGGAACAGATCGCAGCATATGGCACATGTCAGGTCCTCTCTCAGGCTGCCTCTGGAAGATGTGGCAACAGCGGCAGCAGCCATGGCGAAGGGTAGTTCCCTATCCCAAAGAGCGGGTCCACACTGAGGAAGTGAAAGCAGAAGCCTGAAGGTAGAGAGAGACAGGGAGAGATTAAAAAGACAGCTCACAGGGCGATTAATGTGTTAATTCAGCTGGAATAAAATAAAATAAATACAAGTTCACATTGTACAGCAGCAACTTCCTGCTGTGCTACACATTATATGAAGTTAATCATTGGGCCAAATACGGATCCAGCAGAGTGGCTTGTGAACCTCCCCTCTAGAGCCCAAGGTTTATAAACAAAACATATTTAAAAAAAAAAACTAGAGCCTACAAATAATCTACTTCCAGTACAAAACGACAACCTAGTTCAAGTGTGAATGTCACTGTGAGCAGGAGTAGGAATCAGCTGACATATCACGGGACTTTCTATAAGCTCGCTTGTGATTTGTATCGTGAAAGCAACGTTTGGTCAGATGTTTTGTTTGTGTTTGCCATGATAACTTGCTAGCGTTTAGCTAACGTACAGTAGCCAGTAAACCGCCTGTTTAAGCAACACGAAGCGAAATAAATGTACATTACTTACATAGAGACTATAATCAACTTTTTGTTAATACTTTGAGGAACCTACGTTGTCTGTTTTTCGGCGAAATGTGCGGCCAAGTGCTTCACAGTCCCTCCATCTGCTTTCTCTTCCCTCGGCTGCTGTTTTGGGAACAAGACGTACACGTTTACTGCGCATGTGCCGAAAGACAGACGCGATTTTGATTGGTCCGTGTGTTTCAGAGCCAACAGCCGGATTCATGCTGTCGGTTACTTTCTCCTCTCTGGTTGACTCATTTTCTGTTTCACTATACACACCGCAGTGAACACAAGTGCAAATCTGCATAATGAATCACAGTTCACATAGCAAAAGAAAAAAAAAAGAAAGAAGCAGCACAGGTTGAGATATCCTGGCTTATAGTTTCAATAAGAACTGGATTCTACATTTGCCATAATGCAACTCAAGAGTGTCTTTGAACTTCCCTGCCTATAAATCCTCAGGTCTTGTTTGTACCAAAAAACAAAAATGAGTGGCCAATTTCCTCAGACTTTAAACGATCCCCATAGAGCAAGGGTCTCAAACACATCTCATAGGAGGGCCAGTTCAACGTTTGAGTAGCACAATATTCTGAAAATGTTCATATTACTAACATCATTACGTAACTTCCCTCTCATGTTGTTAAATCATGATCTTGGTGTCCTTAATCAGTTTTGCTTCCCTAGACACACTGGCTTCTTAGAATAAAGGAAAAGTACACTGGGGGTGTAATTGAAGCATCCCACACAAATGTTTACCCCAGGAATCCAATTTGAGTACTTCACAGTGTCCGTCCTTTGACAATCAATATTTTGAATCTCTGAAGAATTAAGGACTGATGTATTGATTAGGCTTTGGTCTCCACCTGTCAAGTTTAACTTGTGAGAGAAACACTGACAGCCAAAGGAGTGTGTCAGTCATCCACTCACACGTTCTTTAATTCACACAGTCTACACACAGAAAGATAGACAGAGAGGAGAGAGGATACATAATCCTTGTAGTGTGTGCACTGAGTTTTGAGGCTGTGAGACGGGAAGACGCCACAGTCTCTGATCATGTCATCAGATCAGCAGCAGCAGTGCTCTCAGAGGACATAGACAGAAACAGAAATCAGATGGAGAGTGGTGAACCATACAGGCCATATGGAGGGGAGTCCTACAGAGCTTACTAATTAGGTAGATATGAGCAAAGGTAAATGTATGAAGCTGCAAAGACCTGCAGTAAAAACAAGTCCTTTAACTTAAACTGACACAGCAGGGTACAACAATTTTCTTCCATGGCCACACTTTAAAACCCCCTCACCACCTCTCAGAACCTGCTGGAGATAAGTAAGTTTGGGGCAAGGGCAGAAATCCTTGTTCAGTAATGCATGCAAGCCAGGCTGAGAGAACTGTCAACCTTGACTGCCAAGTGACCCGGTGCACATGGGGGCTGGTGGGGCGGCTCTCACAATTGATAGAATAAATTGAGACTTGAGAGGCAGCCTGCCCTGATCAATAAGGGTAATCTCTGTTGCTGAGTCAATCAGTGCACCAATTATTGCTTCATCAAATAAAATCCCACCAATAGGATCCTATGGGTCTCATACAGTGCTGCTCCATGAACAGTAAATCTGAGCTGGGATGGTGAAAGGGAACTCATATGTCTCGAGGGAGACATGCTCTCCTGTTTAAAACCACAAAACATTCTCTTGGTGGGTGACAGCGGTTTTCAATGTGGCTAAAGCTCTTTTGTTTATGTCTAATTTGAAGTCACAGTGTGTTTCAGGTCCTCAAAGATCTGATGACTTTTCCATTACATCTTAAAATGACCAATCTACAGGTCAGATGAGGTGAACTCATTTCAAACAGAGTCATGGGGGCTGCAAATACATGTCAATTGTTTATTCATTATAATTGTTTATTTATTTCATGGTAACCTTTGCGTAAACCTTTTTTCAACTAAGCATTTTTGAGTATGCTTAGTTAGTAGTAAGTTTAGACTTTTTTTATATTTTGCTTTGCTACAGTAAATGAGGGACAGTGGCTCGAGGCACAATCCAATATAACCTAATTCATTCAAAGTCCATGAGAACTGAATGACACACTCCAAAACCTGAAGTATTGATTGAAGTACCCAACCAAACCTTTTTCAAATGTACTAATGTGTTTTGTTTGGCACCAAATACTGCTCTTAAAGCTTAAACTAAAAATAACAATCCCATCACCAAGAACTTTAATCTATTTTAGGAAGTCATAGGAGCTGACAGATAGGAGCTGTGAGAGATTTGTGTCTTTATTGTTTATCTAAGCACTCAACAAAATCTGACAGCGGTTTGATGCAACTAACACTGGCTTGTTGCACAACAATACGAAGCTGTGCCACAGTTTAGTTTTAATAGTCAGTAATCATTTGATTGCTGAAATTAGATCAGTTGTGACAGGGATGTGGTGCAATATGTGAGGAGGATCTGCTTTATAATCTTGTATTGTTCCAAAGTTCATTCAAAATTATACACACAAACAAGAGGAAGAAATAGTAGGCTTTAAAATCCAAAACCTGCCTGGATTAAAGTGAATGATAAATGGAGATAAAACAAAATGTCATAAACTCAGTGACGTAACTCTGCGTTGGCACTTTAAATGGCATTCTGTGATATTTTAATTTAATTTATTTACTGTGTAATTCAATGTAAATGAAAAAACATAGATGCCTCGTTTGAATAGGTAATATGTGAAGCGAAAATCCCTGCGCAGATCTCCAGTGACAGTCCCTGGCACTGATGTGGACGCTCACACTGAATCCTGTAGACCTGCCTCAGGAACGCACATTGGAGCCACAAGATGCGCACTAGGCGCTACAGCTTGGGAGGAGCTTCGGGATTTTCCCCCTTGTTTCACGCCACTCTCGAGTGAGGACTCGTTTGCAAAAGGAGATATAGTTGGAAAGGTGAGTCCATTAATATGTGGATAGCGTTTATTTAGACTTTAAATAGATATTGCCAGGCTGTTTTAGTGACAAAAACGTATCCCTGGCATTAAACATATTACATGTTCTTTTGTAACGGCGTAACTTGTAGTTACTGAAACTATTATATGTGCGTAATTTGGATATGAAATGAACATCTGAAAGAGGAGGATGAACAAGTGTCCAAATGACATAGCACAAGAGACTATTTGTGTTGGGGGCGAACGATTTGCACCTGTCTAGTCGGTTGAATAAGCTTTGAGAGCTCACTTGGTGATATTTGAATGCGCACTATTCAGTAAGTTAAACAAATGGCGACAAATTACGCACGAGCGAAGCATCAATGCATTTTTGATTTGGGAATTAGGTGTCTCATCATAATTTGACGGCAGTGCGGAGAGTTCACTAGAATCCGGTTGTATCGGTGCTTTTTGCCCCTGCAGGTGTATGGTAACAGATTTCCCAGTGGCACAAGCTTGCCTCCAGTCTTGGATTACCATCGCTGATCAGAAAAGGGTGCTTTGACAAATTACTGATGCTTTGCAAAGTGCACATGTCGTCTGCAGTCAGCCTGATAAATCCTTAATGCTCCCGTGTGGCTGTCTGCTCTGGTGACAGAGGGTACAGGCGGACTGTTCATGCCTTTTGGTTTATGGGCCACACTGTGTCACACTGTAGTTGTCATGACCACAATTCCAGTGGTCCCTGTGGATTCAGAGTTATAGTGCAAGTAATGTGTGTGTGTGTGTGTGTGTGTGTGTGTGTGTGTGTGTGTGTGTGTGCGCGCGCGCGCGTGTGTGTGCGTGCGTGCGTGCGTGCGTGTGTGTGTGTTCTATATCCTTAATACTTCCTCTCCTATAGGCCTCACACCTGATATTTGATGTTGTACATAAATCTTGAGGGACATTAAGGCTGTATGGGTGGTTTTGATTTCTGATAAATCCACACACACTCACACTTGTTCTGGAGAGCTTTTGCTGCTTGAAATATGATTCATGTAGCATATAGATAAATATGACAATAAAGCAACACAGAAATTCAGAGAAATACGTTTATTCCATATTTTCCACACAAAAATATGGAATTTTGAATACAATAATGAAAAAGCAAAGATGTCAGTGAACTATAGCCTGTGCAATGGTCTGTCAGAAAATAGGCTACAAGATCCCCAGAGCAACCAAAGAGTGTCTGTCACCAAAGAGATGACCTCTCACTAAATGGTTTCCTGCTTGTCTCTGTAATTTAAAGAAAGCCTGTGAGCACACAGAAAACTACAAATTTGTCCAGTTTTTAACACTCAAAAATGAAATCCTTCGAAAAATCACAGTATTGTGGATTTGTTAAAAGCCTCTGGCTGAATCTAATGTCACTTAACGCAATTAGAATGAATCTGCTTAATGAAGAAGCCGAGACTTAGCAGTTACTTAAGACTCAAACACTGAAAGTATTTTTTTATACATACCATGCCAAAATGTTCCCTCTTTATTCAGCAGGAGCTCTCAGGTAAATTCACTGAAATGGTAAGATAATGAACAACAGAAAGTCTACTGAAATGAGAGAATTCTTTCGTGTAACATGGGCCATCTTTCAGGCAGAATTTAGGCATACCACACAAAATTACCTTTGAGATGCAGACTGTGAATGCGAGCAGACTACGGCTCTAATGATGTCGCTTTGAACTGCCTGACTCCTACTGATCACATTGCTTCCTCCATCACTTCCCTTTAGCCTTTATAATGGCACAGGTGTTCATGTCCCTTGTATCCTATAACCAAACCTATATTTGTACCATTTTCAATGTGAATAGCTATAGGTAGCTATACGGTCTGTTTTTTAGGACAAAATGGAGCAACAAAGAAAGATGATTTTCTATTGATTATCATCTGTTACTAAAAGGCATTTTTCAATTTCTTAGCAGTTCCGAAATCCCACTTCCTGAATGCAATCTTGGGTAGTTGTTCTAATAATTAGACTGCATTCATAAGAGAAATCTCTTATCTTCTAAATTGGACTGTTTCATTTACTCAAGTTAAATACTGAACGGCTTTAATAATGGTATGACATTTCCAATGTAAACTGCCCTGTCCTGATGATATGAAGAGAATAATGAAACAGTTCTATTAGTTCTGTTTAGTCAGATTTCATTAGAAATTGGATTTTGGCAGTTCATACTATTCTGAAAAGGAGAAAGACCCTGAGAATAAATTAAATTTCTATGTTCACCACTAAATGATAGGAGGTATTTTATTGTGTAAAGAGAGTGAATGGACCAGGAGAAATTCAGGAGGTGAAAATACCAGCCCACCACCAAGGTTCAATTCCCAGCAGTGGTACCTTTGGCTTGGTCAGGCATTCAGGTGAAACCAACTGGCAGTGGGATCATGTTCTTGTTACTGCATCTGAAACTTGTACTGGTTCTTTTGGACACTTGCACAGAGGGGGATACGTAAGGACACACAGGGTACACCACAAGTGACACCATGTACATCCCACATGCCGAGCAGTGACAGGAAATGCAAATCAGGGATGTTGGGAATTCTAAATTGGATAGAAAAGTGGGAAAATAAATAAACAATCTTAAGCTTAAGAGTTGTTTCTCATAGTTGGAATTGTTGTTGGGAACACTATTCTGCCTTGTGTCAGAAAATGATTTTATTTTAATGTGTTTTCTCCCCTCAGGTGTCGGCACAGTCTCGATCTGGCAACTTCCGATAAAATGAGCCCACCAGACACATCCAACAGCACAAGCGAAGGGGAGGCTGGTGAAACCAATTCCTGGACTCTATTTAACAACAGCACAGATTTATATAGCCCTGGTTTCCACACTGATATCACCAAGCACCTTGGGGTCCAGATCACCCTGATCACAGCTTATTCCCTAATAATTTTACTGGGGCTGCTGGGGAATGCTCTCGTCATTTATATGATTATTCGTTACAGAAACATGCGAACAGTGACTAACTTCTTCATAGCTAACCTGGCCCTGGCAGACCTCCTGGTGGACACTCTCTGCTTGCCCTTTACTCTGGTTTACACTCTGCTAGATGAGTGGAAATTTGGGGCTTTGTTGTGCCACATGGTGCCCTTTGCCCAGGCCCTGAGTGTGCATGTATCCATCTTGACCCTGACTGTCATTGCTCTGGAGCGTTACCGCTGCATCGTCTTTCACCTTGGTCGGCGCCTCACATGGCACTGCAGTTTCCTCATCATGGCAGCCACCTGGACTATGTCTGCTGTCCTGGCAGCACCCCTGGCAATCTTCAGAGAGTACCGTCATGAAGAGATCCCTTCCATCAACCTGCGTATCGCTGTCTGCTCTGAGAAGTGGCCCCACGGGACCAGCAGGGACGGAGTCATCTACAGCCTCTCAATGCTGCTCCTACAGTACATTATACCTTTAGCCATTATCAGTTATGCTTACATCTGCATCTGGGTCAAACTGAAGAACCATGTCAGCCCATCTAGCCGTAACGACAGCATCAACCGCCGCAAAAAGACCACCAAGATGTTGGCGCTGATGGTGGTGGTGTTTGCTATCTGTTGGCTGCCGTTCCATGTGATTCAGCTGGCCAGTGATCTGGACCTGGCGCTCAGGCTGAAGGAGTACAAACTGATTTACACAGTGTTCCATATCATAGCTATGTGTTCGACTTTTACCAACCCTTTCCTGTATGGGTGGATGAATAAAAACTACAGGAATGGCTTCCTCATGGTCTTCCGTTGTGAGGATAAGCCAGATTCTTTCCACACCGAGGGGTCGTTCAGGACACGCTCCACAAGAAGGCTGACTCTAAACGGTCGTAATGGTGGACACCCTCCAACTGCTGTATGAGATTAACATAGTTTAAAAACCCTGTAGAATATGACTGATCACACTTAGGGCACCTCTGGTTTGTGGTGCTTGTGGTGTAAAAGTAGCCTTTTGACTTGAATGGTCTGAGTTTGAGTGTCTATGTCATTGGAGAGGGCTCAAAGCTTTGCATGCAAATTGCTTTATGTAAGGCTTGTCTTTCCTTTGTGAATGGTACTAGTGAAAATACTTTTGTGGAAGCTATTCAAATATGTGTTTATGGTGTTTACTATGGTGTTAATTAACTTGGTACAATGTATAATGTGTTTCCTGTAAATGCTGAACTGTTAAGTAATGTCCAATGAATTATGCACTCCATTGCATAAATTGCCTATCTGGGGCTATTAATGTGTTCATACTTACTGAAGGCTAGAAGAGAATTATTGTGACTGCGAGAACAAGTTTTTCACGCTTGTTTTTCTATTCGTTGGCCGTCTAAAACATTTGGATGATTTTCACTTAATTAATCTAAATACAGTTTGAAACAGTTCCAACATTCAAACCAGTAATATTTAATCATCGTCCAAGGAATCCAGAGGAGGCTATCGCTGATATTCTGTCCAACCAGGAAGAAATTGCATTCACCTGGCAGCCAGCTGTTCCTAATTAGATGGACCAGCAGGCCTCTGTGTCCAAAGGAATGGGATTGAAAACCAATGAACTGTGTGAAGTGAGAGCAACAAGTTCTTAATATCTTCATTACAGAATGTGGGCAGTAAAAAGGGGGATTTAGTAGAAGTCAAAACATGCAACTCTACACTCAGCTGCTAAAGTGTCCTTTGTTTATTGAACACCGGAAACATTAATAAATCACATATTGAGCCCCCCACTACACCCAACTCCCAGAGTTAAGGAGAAATTAAATGTTGTGCCTCCATGTCAAAAGAGCAGCTTGAATTAAGCCTGGATAAGTGAATTATTTAAGTAAGGTAAATGTGTGTCAGATCATGTCTGGTTTCATAGTAATGCTGCAAATAGTGGCATATTACAAAACACTCCATTAAACACTATAGACACCATATGAAGACTACCCAAAACCTTCGGGGTAGCGGTCTGTGCTGTGGTGCATGTGCTCTCCATACTTGAGGTAATACAGAAAAGATAAACTTAAACCCCCCGAAACTTGACAGCTACTTGACAGAAAACCCATCTATGAATGGGATGACAGTCCACATAGAGGGACATAAAAGCAATCAAGTTATTGTTTGTATAAAACTGAGGTTAATCAAAGTCCTACGCATAAACTTTCAGACATTGTATTGAACAAATCAAAAAAAAAAAAAAAAACTGGGTCCAAATACCAACCAATAAAGCATTTAATGATCAAGTGTTGTATGCAGTGTGATTCATTTTACAGCAGAGGAAATAGGTATTAGGTTTGCATTGCTGGTTCTTGACACCCACATTACTGATTTCCTGGCTTAGTCTATATTCCTTTATGTGCTGTAGATTATTATAGAAGCTCTAAGCCTTCATCGGGGCTACCAGCAGACAGACATTGAGCTTAAACTCATGGCATTAGACCTATTGGGCATTAAAACTAATGTGTGAAGATTTTGCTGCAGACTAGAGGTGTTTTCAGGGATGAATGTAGCAAGCGTAAAAAAGATTATCCATCTGTCCTCCAGTATAAAGTGTGCTAAAGGGGATACAAGGTCAGATTAACTACAATGGGCTCGAAGAAAGATTCAAGGTTTTCTGGGTTGAGCCTTACAGATGAAACAGCTGTTCTAACAACATTACATGACATTTGACCTGAAAAAGTGCAAAAAACCCCAGATAAACTCCATTATTCAAATCAACCAACATCGCTTGATTTCAAGATTCAAGATTCAAGAAGCTCTATTTATCCAGAGGGAAATTACTGTGCAGCAGTTTCAATACAAAGGTGGTAAAGTAAAGTACTACAGGGTTAGAGTAAAAATAAGCTAACATAAAATAAAATAAAACAAATATAAAATAAAATTAATAAAATTAAATTAATAAAATAAAATAAAGGCTAACATAAAATAAATCAAACAATTACCTAAATGCAAGCACTTACAGGTAACATAAGCAGAAAAGAAGAAAACAAGTAACTACTGTAGGTACAGTTTATACAATATACAACAAACACATTTATATTCCATTGAGTGCACAATGGGGGAAAAAAACTTTATTTAAACAAAAAAAGACATATCACATCAACCCGACAGCTGTTTGAGTGCTGAGGTCAGAAAATGGATGTGCGGCATGTTGCACAGTCGCCTGCTGCCCTCTAGCGTTCAGAGTCGGCATCGCATTTGCACCACCAACCGGATGTGTCGTCAATGTTTGACCTCTCGGTTTGTGACATGAGCCGTGAGCGGCCGCACGGTGAAGTCAGGAGAGCAAGATAAAATGCAAATACTCATCTTTTGATTGTTGTCGCCATACAGGTAAAGAAAAAAAAGAAATTATATTCCGGATGTTGCTTGTTGAATGTGGGTCAAAGCTATTTCGGGGTCATTCATTCATGGAGTTGGTGCTACATGCTAGGCTAGCTCACGCTAACGGGGAAGCTACGGAGTGCGGACGTGACAACCGTGACAGTAACGTTAGATGTGATATGATAGCCACTCACTGCTTAAATATTCAGCAGTCTGTGCTCATAAAGTTTGCCACGTAGTTGTTAGCTACTACCTGAAGGCTCGGTGTGGTATTTGTACGGTAAGTTAACGTGAGGCCTGACAGCTGTCATGTAGCATTGAGCTGGAAACGTCGGGAAGATGTGTGTGACTCCATTACCGGCTATGATCTCTTTAAACAAACCTCATTTCTATCCACCCGTAGTCTTTTTTTGTGTGTGTGTGTGTGTGTGTGTGTGTGTGTGTGTGTGTGTGTGTGTTCGGGGTCTCACTCGTGTTGTCTGCTCTGTCTCTCCACAGGGTGTTGTCAGAGTAAACACACGGCACAATGGTGAAGTATTTCTGCTGCGCAGGTTTGCTCAAAAGCTCCTGGGACCAAGTTTGTGTTGCTTTCTGGCAACGTTATCCCAACCCTTACAGGTGAGGGGCGATGAGTCTCCATACAGTTACACCTCTGATCTCTGCATACACTTCTTTACACATATGTGGTTGTGTCTCTACGTTTCTATGAAGAGAAGGTTAAACAGTGGTGTATTATTTCCAGTACTTAACAGAATTTATGTCACAGCTAGTCACTTGTTACTTAAAGGCTTGTGACTTTATATACTAAAAATATGGTTACTGTAGCTGATAGAATATGACACACTGTCAGTAATAGTGATCCAGTAATTTGATATAACATTTCGACAGCTACCGAATGAGTAATTTCACTTTTGATACTATTATAGACTTTGTATTTATACTTTTATAGTATGATATTGCTATTTTTACTGAAGCAAAACATCTCAATATGTCTTCCACCTTTAAGGTTAAGTATTGGGGCACATCATAGCTAGAAAAGAAAAACTCCTGCTCACTGTCTAACTGGAATTAAAACAGACCTTCATCAGACGACACATCATAGCTGAAATGATTAATCAATTTCTAAATGAAAAAAATCTAAATGAACTATTCATTGTGTATGTTTTTGGAAACAAAAGTACAGAAAATACACTCATCCCAGCTTTCAGCTGATAATATCTTATAGTTTTCTTAGTGATGTGATAGTAAATTGTATATCTTTAAGTTCTAGACTGTCAATATTTTATATTTTTTAGACCAAATTATTAATTTATTAATTAAGGAAGTAATCATCTGATTAATCACTTGTGAAAATAATTGTTCGTTGCAGTTCTAGCTGAAAGATCAAACAGAAAATGAATCTCCAACCATTCTGATAATCGATTGATCGTTCTCAAGTCTATTATTTGGCCAAACAGTTGCTTGTTCAGTTTCTTGTGTGAGTATTTGTTGTTGCAACTTTATAGAATTGTCAATTCAAAACAATCAATTTGAAGATGTCACTTTGAGCTTTGAGAACTTTTTATGGGCTTTTACTCGCATTTCTGACGATTATTAATTATTTAATTTAAGAAAATATATGACAGAAGCATTTATAATGAAAATAATTAATTAGTTGCAGGTTTTGATCAATAGCTTTTTTTCTTCTTTTCCACAGTAACCATGTTTTGACCGAGGACATCATTTTCAGAGAGGTCACTCCAACCAACTGCCTCATTTCAAGACGTCTGTTGACCAAAACTAGCCGAGCACCTCACTGGATGGAGCGGTACCTTCCAAAGCAAATGTCCAGCTCAGCGTACATCATTGAGGACTCTATTGTGGACCCTGAGAAAAAGACCATGACCACACTCACGTGGAACATCAGCCACGCTCGCCTCATGGTACCGCAACGTTTGCTTTAGTAGGCACTCAGCATCGCACAGAGTAATAACACTGCCTCATGATGCTTTTGCTTGTTTTGTTTTTTTTGTCCCAGTCCGTGGAAGAGAGGTGCGAGTACCGAATAAACCCTGAGAATGGCAGCTGGACAGAGATAAAAAGAGAAGCTTGGATATCTTCCACTGTCTACGGGCTTACTAGAGCTATTCAGGTTAGTAGAGTAAAGTGGAGTGCTACAGTAATTCCAGGGAAAGTGGTGTGTGGCATCTAAAAGGGAGACTCAACTCCTATCTGTCATTCTGTAATTGGTAACATAATCCAGAGTGTAAAGATGCAACAGCTGAGCAGTTGAAGGTATCCGCCAAGACTTACGTTGCCGAATGATTTATGACAGAATTTGAGTGGCCTTTTGTTGTTGTCAAGCTCTGAAAACACATGTTACTAAATATGTGATATGTGCCCTACAGGTTGTTGACTCAATGTTCTCTAGGTGTTTTTTTTTTTTCTCTTTGTTGACCCTGTGTCTACTCTCTCCAGGAATTTGGTCTTGCAAGGTTCAAGACCAGTGTTACAAAGACCATGAAAGGATTTGAATATGTGCTGGCCAAAATGCAAGGTAAATTGTTAATGATAACATTAAATAATTAATGCATTGTTTTACATTAATTGCTGCAATGAAAAGCATCCTTAATCTTATTTGTAAAAGCTGTGCTTTTTCCTGTTCAAGTCAAAATATCTGCTATGGAAAAAGCTCTGATGCGAGCTAGGCTGTTAAGATTCCAGGTAGCAGATGTTCAGTACAAGATGAACAAATGTTTGACAGGGAATAAAGGTGGAAACTGGGTTATGTTAATTGAGCAAAAACATCAGTCATTTTCAAAATATCAGTCAGTAATGCAGGAGAGCCTCTTGTCTCTTGCGTGTAAAGGTTAACTTAACAACTTTCAACGTGGGATATGTCAGAAAAAGGTTGGGTACTACTACTTTAAAGGTACAAACAATGCACGATAAGTTGTATGTAAATTGCCATGTGGAGTCCAAATCATACAACCTTTTCTTTGTTAAGATATTTAGTTTGGCTGTAAGGCAATGCTGTGTCTGTTCATTTTATTACACAATCAGAACTATAAAGGGGTAGCATAGCTTTCCTAGAACTACATAACTTGTGTAACTAGGTAACACATTTCCATTACCGTGTGTACATTGACAATAAAGTAATCTTCATAAATATTTAAAACTTTCATCCAATATTATAACCAATATGTTGTGATTTTCTTTGTAGGTGAAACTCCATCTAGAACCTTAGCAGAAACTGCTACAGAGCGAGCAAGAGAGACAGCACTGGCAGCTAAAGAGAAAGCCAAAGACCTTGCCTCACACGCCCAGAAGAAACAATATGTGTGACGAGCTACATAGATCATCGCTTCTTTTACCACTGATACCGGGACCGATTTATCTTTACCCCCCATGGTTCAGCTGAGGTAAGAGAAACTGATCCCGGTCATGGGTAGACACCTCTGTGAGGAAGCATCGAACTGAAATGGTGGGTGGACCATAAAAGGCCTGAGCTGGGTTCAAGAGCCTGTTCCAGCCTCCCTGTTTGTGTCACGCTGAATACACTGTACCTTTGATACCAGATCATCTCATTGTTAACCACAGGTGGAGATCTTAGAAAGGAATGGTTGAATATGGCTCTGGGTGCCATAAAATGATTATAGCACTTTACCAACCTTGATACTGTTCCTCAGACCTTTGGTCAACCTCTGTGCCCATCAACCACATTTGCTTTTTACTCAGTTCCTTTGAGTATGACATGTTATTTTGTAATAGCTTTGTATTATTACCAGCTTCTTATCCAGAAGCTAAAATTAGCATAACGAATATCTGATTGATGCAAATTATTGTGTATGATTTCCTTCAGTTGTATGTTTTGTTATCATGTTACGTTTTAGTTCAGTTCACCCAACCACACCTTAATCATCCTACCAAGACTGACTGCTTCAAGTTGAAGTTCATGAAGAAGGAGGGTCCATATTGTTGGCACTCATAGCTTGATAAGAACTTTACATACTTATATTGTGTTAAGATCTGTTTGCAATGGATGTCAGTGTCATTGCATAAATTAAAAAGTCTGTGTACAAAGGCAAAACTGATACCTTGTACTGTACACTCAGCTTAGCTCTGATGATACAACCCATGCAACAATCTGCTCTTATTGTATGAATATCAGCTTGTTAATAAATGGACAGTTTCTTTGTAACCATCGTGTTATGTCTTTGAACAACAAGTGGTATCTCTGTATAGTTACCTGGGAGGCGGGACACCCACAAGGGGTTACAGGACACATCTGAGGGGTCACTAAATGGCTTTTAAAAAACCAAACATTTCTGCTATAGCACTTTCCTGTAGTCTTCATTTTTTCTTATTAATTACAACATTTAGCTCTAAAAATTCTTAATATAAAACAGTTCCAGTCCCAATGGTTAAAAAAGTAACCAGTCCCAATGGTTAAAAAAGCAACTAGTTTCATTATTGTAAAACAAATCAAAAACGGCACATAAATATAGAAAATATTTATTCAATAAAAAAGCTTACACCAGTACAAAAATGCTACATAATATTACTGGGCGGAGAGACAGATGAATGCATACATAATATTAAAAGATAATAAGGCATCTTGCATATACAGAAGTGAAGGGGGAAACAGCACCTTCAGTTATTAAATACATAGCAATGAATATGATACATACTTGTAATACGGCATAATCATTACAAGTAGACACAACCTGCCTGACTGTGGTGAATTTGTTACATGCATAATTAACATTTATACTGACAAATGCACAAGCAATGAAGTGTACAGCTGTGATAGAGAACACTTCTAAGAAAGATACCGGTTAATATTAGCAGTGAATAAAACTGTCTATCCACCTCTGTCCATATGCTCTCACAAGTTCTCTTTAAAAACAGGCATCAAAATTCTTGCACTTAATCACAGACTGAATTGTGTACAAATGAATATTTGACACAGATAAAAATGTGCAAATATAACCAGTTAATGTCTGTTCGCGGTTTTGATATTCCAACAATCCTTTTGAGACAAAACAAGTGCAATGTGTGGACGTTTTGTGCAACAGAAGAAAAAGATCAAAATACATGACTGAACTTAACATAAAAAGGACAATAATACAAAACATAGCACAGATTAATGTTTAAGTGCATGTTACACATGACATTACTGAAATATGAACTTAGTGCTAAAGAAAAGCTGTATGGAATACTAAACCAAATCTGATATTAAGGCAGAATTCAGTATAGACATACTGTAGTAAAGAATAAGTTAAAAGAGTTTTGAATAAAAAGTCCTTATTTGGATTTTCACAGACTTTTTACTCATGGCTTTGGAAAGAAATGCCATTAATGGTTGATGCAGGAAAATATGTATGCGTAATGTTACATCCATCCCAGCCCAGTGATTTTAACTGCTATTCAGTGCAAATGGACACAGTTCATTCATAATTGTATCGTTTTAGCTTGTAGTCTGACATATTCTGAAAAGAGGATGTCAAAAGTTACTCCTTCTGTAGAAAGAAAGAAAAAAAAGGTGTTCGGTTGTACAGTAACATATTCCTCCATTCTCTCTCTTCCTCTGTTGGTTTTTTTGGAATGTTTTCTCCTCTTCCTGTCTGCCTGGTGACATTAAATAAGTTACCGTAGGTTTCAATGCTGTCATAGCCAGGCTTTGTCCATGCTGGAGTAACAGTGGTCTGCATCAGTGTGTGTCATGCTCAGTCCGTCAGAGTCCATGCAGTCAAACACGATGCTCTCCACGTCAACTTCCACGTCCTCTGTAAGGTAACCAACCAAAGATCAAATCCATTAGCAGAAGGTAATCTGTCAACATACACTAGTCACATTGAGGGAATGAATGTGCCTGAATAAAAATCTAAGACATTATGAAGTCGTGCTTTGCTGCGTTCACACTTTCAGCATTAAAAAGCAAAGGCTTGGGCAGTACAGCGACTGTGCACCTACCTCTGTCAGAGTCAGACCTCTCAGAGGACATGGTCGACCCCTGGCTGTCGTTCCTCATCCTCTCCGTGCCTCTCTGCAGCTGCTCCAGCCGAACCCGCAGCTCTCTCTGCTCCCAGCGCAGGCGGCCCTTTACCTGCTCCGCGCGCTCATCCTGCTCCTGCAGCTTCTGAAAGGAGAAACGAAAAGAACAAAAACCTTAAATGCCAGATGCCACTAAATCCTACACACTGTGGATTCAGTGGCACGGGGCAAACAATAACATGAGAGTTGGGTCTACCTTTATGTGAAGCTGGGCTCGTCTCAGCAGGTTGAGGGTGGTGTTCCTCATTGAGTCGGACGACAGAGGGACTTGTTTCTTGAGTTGCTCCAGGCAGTGCCTCAGCTGAGCTCGTCTACAAAGCACAACAAGCAGCAAATGACGCTGTTAATGCATGTGAAAACAGGGCATGTAACATTGTGGCTTAACTTTGAACACAATAAGAAACGTCCCTTTTGCTACAACACAACTATGAACTGTCTTTGTTTATTAAGACACAATATTCCATTACCTGTTTTTCTCCAGCTCGTTGTGAACTGACCTGCGGTTACAGAAAGAGACAATGTGTTAAGTTTTAAAATGCACTTATAAACAATAACTGCTGCTTAAACAACAACTGCCGGTATTCAGTGGGCTTTTTGTTATCAAAACTGAAAGTCAGACTTCACAACCACACCCTCTTGTTAGTTATCTGTTATGTAATGTGTTCACCTATTGCCACCCGCAGATATCTTCTTGCTCTTCTGTTTGCTCCTTTTATCATGATGATCTGGACTGAGAGGCAGGACTGAAGCATACCCATGTTCTGCCTCTGTGCAGGGGGAAGAAAAATAAAACCAGCTTTGTGAGGAAAACAGTCTAAAATTAAATTATGTGCAAAGCTAAATGTAAAGTTGCACCACTACAAACATCAGTGAACCCCTGTGCTTCAAAATGAACATCTATTACTATCTCTTCCTAAGCTGTAGGATGAGCAAGGATATTAAAAAACACTCGACTGCTGTCATCAGCATCATCAGCTGGGACGCTCTGTGTTTTAGTTTTGGCGCCATCACACGCCACCTATTCACTCATAAAACTTAACTTTCTGCATCCTCTCCAACAGAATGACTCGACACCATCCCCCCCCGACAGCGTGTAAACATAAAAGGACACTTTTCCTATTCTTTACTCTTTATTTTTCTGCCTCACTTTCATTCATCGTAATGAGCGCTCAGCGCCGCTCGGGTTCATTTTCAAACTGGACCAGATTGGCGCCTTTGAGTACAATGATGCGACCGATATGTAGGTCACTGAGTCAAATGGGAAAGATCGGCTAACATAACCTTATAGTAAGAATCTCGATGCTTTTCTCGAGGGCATTTCGTTGTATTACACACCTGTGTTACATTTTGCATGAACAGTTACTGTCGCTTCATTGTGCATTTTCTTGTTTTAACAATAACCAACTTCCTCCCATGTAGACTGACAGTAAGAAGAGGAAAAAAAAAAAAAAAAACACACTCACCTCGCTCTCTCCTCTCCAGAAACTCGGCAGCCCGAAGGAGCACCTGGATGTTGCAAACGTGTCCTTCCATTTTTTGTTTTTTTGTTTTGTTAAAAATAAAAACAACAAGCGGGGTAAACAACCTACTGCGGGTCAAGCGACAGGAGCCTGAAAGTAGATGAAGCTTGTGTGTCTGTGCTACGTCCTCAATCCACAGAAGGCGAACACTGGCGAGGCTGCCTTCACGTGTTCCACGTAAAGCTGGGACACCGGGAACCAGGGGTTTGGCGAAAATCATAACAAAGGGGGATTTTAAAGCGTTGACCTCTGTTTGTTTAATTTGTGAAACAAAATAAGGGTGTACTGGGTGACTTATTGCGAAAAACAAACATATTTTTTAAATGTGAGATTATTTCCTAGAGTTCAAACAGTCTGGGTGCATATGGCAATAACCTACCATTTGTTTGATAGATAACATATTCTTACTAAGCATAAAGTCATAAACACTTTTTAACGTTAACATGAAGGGGAGACTCGTATCATAATGGATTCACAGCTGGGTCGTTATGGTGCATTTAGGTTACGTTTATAAAATTTCCGAAAGTACCTGAAGGCATCCACAGAAAACGTAAAAACGTCATTGTCAAGCCTCCGTCCACTCCCCTCTCACGGCACCTTTATTTTTACATTTTATTATATTGGTTAACAACGATATTGCCATGTGCTTATGCATATGTCGCCCCTATTGTATGAAAAAAACAAAAAAAAACAAAAGCAAGTTGTACAAAAAAAAATTGCGTTTACATGTGTTATTGTTATTGTTTTATTTTACTCTTCCTCAACTACCGATGAAAAAAAAAAACATACATCTTTACTTCAACTCCAGCCAACATTCAGTTTTCTATCTATAACAATATTTAAAATATGACTACACTGTATCCAGCTTTAATAGATGTGGCTATATTATAGATATATACGTGGTATAAAATTATATTCTGTATAAATATGCTAAAGGAAACAGTCGTGTGAATAAGCAGAAGGAATTGTCTTTTACACACAAACGAAAGTGGGAGGAGAGGAGTTGCCCTCACTAAACATGGCGGTGTCTGGCTTCACTGCCTGTATCGGGTTTCATTTGTAGTCACCGCACGGCGGTGAAGCCTCTTTGCCAGCAGTATCTTTAACCTATGAACTCCCGAGTGTGCCAGTCCTCCGCCATATTGACTGTTGTCTTGACTGGAGGAGATAGAGAACATTTTGAGGTCCGAGAAGAAACGAAAGTGTGCTCTTAAAATCCTCGAAACTGGTGCAAACTTGGCCAAAGCGTATCATAAACACCGCTGTAATGGCAAGGAAGAAAAGCAAGCAGCAAGGGGTCGCCCAGAAGGAGCTTGTGCCCGGACAGCAGCCCGCACCGAAGAGCCCAGTCTCTCCCGGCGATGCAGCTGGCGGCGGCGGCGGAGATGCTGGGTTGGATCGGTTGGCCACTACCAGGGCGAACCAGGTAGGGTTAGGCTAGCTAGCCTCCGAGCTAACACCTCTCTGCTAATCTGAGCATCCCTCCTTTTGTGTTTTTATTTATTTTTATTTATTTATTTATTTATTTTGTTGTTGTTGTAGCTAGCTCCTGCAGGGGTGAAGTTACTTGCATCCGCTGGCTGGCTTTTGGAAAGCTATTTTAATCTGTGTAGTAGTAGTAGTAGTAGTAGTAGTAGTAGTCGTGGATGTTAAGAGCTCTCACGTCGTTTGATATGTTAATTAATTAAATAAATAAATAAATAAATAACGCTCAACTTCGCGAGCAGAAACAGGCGGCTTTGAGGCAGTGTGGCTAGCTCGGTTGCGAGCCTATCTCCTCCGCCGGACAGGTGACATTGTGCCTCGGGCAGGTCGTCCCATTTCCAGCGTTTACAACTCTTCACCCGCCCAGCTAACCTTAGCCAAGAGGCTAGCCGGGCTATCATCTCCAGCTAGCGTGCTGCAAACGTGCTTACATTGAAACCCATCTACAGGAACCACAGTGGCTAACCAGCTGCTGGCTAATTAGCTAGTTTAGCTGAGACGAGATAACGGGTTCATAATTACGGTGGCTAACTCTCTCTGACATGGATCGAGTTGTTTATTCGACTCTGTGTTGCTCTTTTCTTTTTGCTGTGCTGCACCTCTCCTGCCGGAGTGAAACAGGAGCTAATGTTAAAAGTTTCAATGCTTGTAGACATTAGCCAGTGATGCTTAGCTCAACGTTAGCTGTTTAAGTTAAGTGCTGTACAACTGGACCACTGTCGCTCCAGAAACCAGCTACCCTTACATCTGACCTCTGAGTCTTATAAGATGCCTGACTGCTGCTTGGATTGAGTTATTACAATATATACCACACGTGTAACAAACCTGTCCGGACACGTCTCATAACTAGAAATAATATATGTATATATATATTTTTTTTTTGTTTGGCAGAACTGTGTTGTGCATAAGGTGGGGATCTCTAAAATGTGTGTCACTGTATCATAAAGTTATGTGATATTTAGAAAATACTGGGAAGTATCTGTGTACCTGTCTGTAACTGTCTGCTACATTAAGGTGAAATAAATACCACCTAATTGCCCTGCAGTAAACTTTGTTTGGGCTTTGTTGAAACTGTTTTAGAAAGGCCTTGATTTAACTTTTTTTTTTTTACTGGAGGATGTTTTGCATCACTTTTGTGTCAGACTACATTTGTTTGTTAGGCGTACCTAATAAACTGGCCAACCTAGTGTATTCGCAAACACATGTAATTGCTAGAATTGTCAGATATTGTAGACATTATTCTGATCACACTTTGACTAGTAATAACAAGCAAATACTTGACCTCCATATCCTCTTTTTTTTTCTCTGTCTAGCCTATGCACACCTGCTGCCTCCTGTGCCACCGTGAATTTAAGGACTGGGGAGCAAGCTCCGTCAACGGGCTCCCTGGGGGTCATGGGACCAAGCTGGCTGATGCCGTACCTGCACTCTCCCAGGCCTTATTGCGGGAGGCGCCAGGTCGTAAGCTTGCTGATGCGGTGCCCTCGCTGTCTCAGTCCCTGCTGGGAGAGGTGCCTCTGTGGATATGTCAGAGCTGCTGCAAGAGTGTGGAAGAGGAGGAGAGGCGGAGCACCCAGGAGCAGCCGACGTCGGTAAATAAAAGGGGACTGATTTGGGTCATATGTCTGTATCTTTTTCACGACTTGTATTTACTACTTTTTAGTTAAACTGTGTTCAGTTATGTCGAATCTCATCTCTATTCACCATGCTGGGCTTTGCATTTGCATGTGCTTACTCACTATATAAATCTGTCTGTCTTAATGTCACCTTGGATTTAATAAGTTTAAACATGTAGTCTACTTTGTGTCTCTTCAGAAGTAACTTATTATTTGTGTCTCTGTGGCATGTGCAAGGCAGCAGTTGTTACCTTTGCTTTCTTGGTTGATTTTACATAAATACTTTACATGGAATGCAAATTTTGAAGACTTACTGTATCGTCATATTTAAGCTTGACTGTAGGTCAGCTTGGGTTCAAGTTTAATAATAAAAATTGATTTAAAATTTAAAAAAGGCAGCGCGGAGAGGGATTGCTGAACAGCACCCTGCAGTGATTTATTTTAATATTCAGTTTTTTGTTTAGTTACGATTGATTATAAGATGTGTTGGCTAGTCTTGTCACACTCCCAAGCTGATATTGGTAGTTACTTAGTGCCACTGGTGCCAAAATGTAAGCCTTGTAGACAGCCCTATGATTAACCTTTTGAGGTTTGTTGTTCTGTTTTGTTTTTTTTATTCAGGTACCATTGTCACACTCTTCCTCCTGTAAGTCTCAGAGCTGTGGGAACGGTTACCCGGAGCAAAGTACTGTGGATTGGGACCCAAGTTCCTTCCTGTCAGCCCACAAACTGTCAGGCCTCTGGAACTCTGCCCACACCAACGGAGGGGAACACTGCAACCACAACACTTCACACTCACAACAAGGTCTGTCATCACAGGGTAAAAGGGCTTAAGAAAACATTTAATGAAAGTGACAGTAATCGCTGAAAACATGACAAACCTAAATTTCAGGCTGTGTTGCAAGTTTTGTGTTTTTGAAATGGACACAAATTTGGTTGGAATCTAAGCTCTATGGTTGGCAGGTCAGCTTTCTTACTTCGAAATAAATGTGTGATACAATTTTAGCCACTTTGTTCAGGTGTTAGTCTACTACGCTTTAGAAGAACAAAGAGGAATCTTGTAGAAGCTTACACTGCTCTATTTTCCGAGGTCCTTAGAGCTCAGCATTATGAAAGGTTGAAAAATATTTCAAGATAAGCTTGTTGTCAAAACAACCAGGTGCACTCAGATGGTGGAGATACATTTAAAAATAACAGAATTTCCAAAAAAAGATGATTTAAATAAATCAGAGAATATGACTTGGGTTACTATTTCTAAAATAATTAGAATAAAACCCTGTAGATTATTACAAAATAGTGTGAGTCAGAGGCAACTGTCTGCCTAAACTTCCAGAACTGTTCTGGCAAAATTGACATGGACTAGTTAGTCTGTTAATCCATCATACTAATCAATTCTCCCAAAATCTTCGGGGCGTAGAAATTACAGTCTGTTGCATTCGACTACTAAGCATGTACTGCATTCCTGGACCTGCAGCTTTCCAATACAATGGAGACTACTTCATAGGAGTGGGGGAAAGTAATCATCTCTCATATGCATTATGAAATATGTAGCATTAATGCATAAACGTCCTTAAATGGAATTGTGAAATTGTGTTTCATGCTAAACTTTTTATGCACATAATCGCACAGTAGAAAGGAGTAACTACATTGTAAAACATAAAGAGAACAAGTTACGTTGGACAAACAATTTGATACGATGAGATGTGAATAATGCCCGACAATAAGTGCACCATGTAAAGTTTCTACCTTGACGACAAGGTTTTTCCAGTTCAGAATCAGAATCAGATTTTTTTATTTTACACATACAAGGAATTTGTCTTGGTGCACGATGCATAGAAATCACACAAAAAAGCAATGTTAAATGTTAAGAAGCGGGGAAAAGGAAGCTGAATTACAGCCATGCAGTATATAAAATGTTTGTTTAAAAGTACAAATATTTAGGGGCACGCGGTTAGCTCCGTTGGTAGAGCTGGCGTCCCATGTACCGATATTAAAAGTGTCAAAGCTTCCATGTACTTGGAAATGAGAAAACATGCCACTGTCTAGATCAAGA